ATATCCTTATATAAAAGTGATAAATGTTAACTATAAATTGTGTACATTTTAACAATCTGGGTTTTTTTTTGTTTGTTCTTTGTCTATGTATAGCTTGGGTTTTTGTTTAGCGAAGCTGGGTTTTTCAAAAAAATCCCGTTGGCAGCTCTGGAGCAGACACATATCAGTTTCCTGTTTGTGCCAAGCGGGCAGGGAAACGAGCAAGCTGATTGGCTTGCAGGTGAAGCTGCTGTGGAGGACGGACCAGCCATAGACCAAGTTGATATTCTGAATGCTGAATGAGAAGTATGACGCCTCGCGGCAGGATTCGTGTCTTTATGTAGCCTGTGTTTTATTAATGAACCGATCTCTCCGCTGCGATGTAGAATATGGATCTTAGTGGTGACAGCCATTCCTGGCTCTGTACAGTGTGTGTGTTCGTATGTGTATGTGTGTGTGTAATAGTAGTAATAGCATACCTGCCTTTACGTGGTGTGTGTGTGTGATAGTAGTAGTACCGTACTTATCTATACATTGTATGTATGTGTGTGTGTGTGTGTGGGTATGTTTGTATGTGTGTGTAATAGTAGTAATACATGCCTTTACATGGTGTGTGTGTGTGTGATAGTAGTAGTACCGTACTTATCTATACATTGTATGTAAGTGTGTGTGTGGGTATGTTTGTATGTGTGTGTAATAGTAGTAATACATGCCTTTACATGGTGTGTGTGTGTGATAGTAGTAGTACCGTACTTATCTATACATTGTATGTAAGTGTGTGTGTGTGTGGGTATGTTTGTATATGTGTGTAATAGTAGTAATACATGCCTTTACATGGTGTGTGTGTGATAGTAGTAGTACCGTACTTATCTATACATAGTGTGTAAGTGTGTGTGTTAAGTTAGCTGCATACACGTTTTTGTTCCTTTAAAACGAGGTGCCAGTACTCAATACAAAGTGTCTAAATAGCTGTGCCGGTACTGATTAGAAAGTGTCTGTTACAGTTGCACTAAAAACTAAAAAATGGATGCCTTTAAAAGATGCCGGTTCTGTGTACTGTAAAAAAAAAAAAAAAGGCCCTACTTGTTTATCCTTTGCAACAGGCCCCGGAATTTGTTGACTGTTGGTAGTGTTACCCCTGACAGAACCGGACTTGTTTCAGAAACGTCCTTGACTGCCAAGTTTACTCAGCCTTGAATTGGTACCGCGTACAGTCCTGGGAAGTAAAGCGACCGGCGCCATGTTGACCATATCACACAAGAGATGCAGCGTGCTGGGCGATGCGCTACTGTCTCCATTTTCCAACCACAGATAACGGAATACAAATTTTGCTGAGCAAGTGCCTACCCCAGAGCCAGCGCAGACATAGGACATCCGCGGCATGGTGAAATTAAGAAGACAAAGGGCAGCAGGTTAAAAAGATACAAATCATGGATGGGTCAGGCCGCGGACATTATTCAGCAGTTGTTCACTTGAGGACCTAAAACCTGGCGAGGAATGGGTACAAGTACCAGTAGAGTGCTGTAAGACCTTTTCTGTTTTCATCCGACTAGACAGAAAATACAGACAAGAAAGTCCAGCCGCTGTTGATGCAGTAATGCAGGCTTTGATTTTCGAGAATTTCATGCTCGGGGATGCTGTCGTTTACACAGATGGGTCTGTGATTCGCCATGTGAGAACTACTTGGGCTTTTACGGCTCAGGTTGGAGTTAGAATTGTGAAGCAAGATTCTGATGCTGGTGCATTTACCACAATTAGTCTGACTATGGAGGTGATGGGGGTGACCAAAGCAATAACATGGCTGGAGACACAGACCTTTTCCCGCGCATGCTTTCTCAGTGACAGTGAGTATGCTCAGGAAGATAAGAAAAGGGCTGGTGCTAAAGACAGTGGCTGGAGTCTCTAAAGCGGTCGGAGCAGCCAGGGCTGCCAATGCTGCCCCCCCCCCCCCCCCAGATCTGGGTTTTTATTTGACGCCTTAAGGAAATCTTTTTTTTTTTTAAATATATCCTTATATAAAAGTGATAAATGTTAACTATAAATTGTGTACATTTTAACAATCTGGGTTTATTTTTTTTTTTTGGGGGGGGGGGGGGGGGGGGGGGGGGGGGGGTTTGTTCTTTGTCTATGTATAGCTTGGGTTTTTGTTTAGCGAAGCTGGGTTTTTCAAAAAAATCCAGTTGGCAGCTCTGGAGCAGACACATATCAGTTTCCTGTTTGTGCCAAGCGGGCAGGGAAACGAGCAAGCTGATCGGCTTGCAGGTGAAGCTGCTGTGGAGGACGGACCAGCCATAAGACCAAGTTGATATTCTGAATGCTGAATGAGAAGTATGACGTTTGCGAGAGCCAAGTGATGACTGAATCTGCGACAATAACCAGTCTACTAGAAAAGCATGAGTGTGGCCAGACAGGAGCACAAGGCAGGAAGCCAAAGAAAGAATAAGAAACCCACACAGAACTGGTGTCGTCGGCCGCGTCACCGGGGGATCCGAGCACTTACGTACTGACTGGTTCGATCTACAGTAAAGACATCTGTCGACTAACTAACCCACCGATGCCGATTGGTCTCTGTAGATCTAGTTCTATACGCCTGAAGGCGTGAAAAGGAGACCTTTTTAAAATTGTATAGTGTTACTAGGTAGTGTTACATTCAGTAGTTTACCGCTACTTCCCTAAAGGGCGACTCTCATAACGTTGCGGACATGAACGCAGAGCGGTCTGCTGCCAAATCGTCAGCAGCTGAATGGAGCCCGGGATGTTGGAATTGCGAAATCGCGTTAATTGCTGCCTAGGCCGCCTTGATCTGTACGGTAGCCGCCAATTTAAAATCTAAAATGCCCAAATGTACCCATTTTTGGGGCGGTGTAGAGCGAGGGATGGGGAATAGACATGGGAGGATTTGGCTGCATGGCTATCGCAGATTAGGATTTAACGTTTCCTTTATTGTTTGGCCGTGTTGTGAGACGAGGGAAGCTGGGATATGTTGTGACCACTGGGGAACTTTGTAAAAGAGAGATGACGGAGACAACAGGAGAGGTTTATCGACAACCTATTTTCATGGTATGCAGGGCTGCCGACATCTCAGGTTGTGCCGAGGCACGATCGCCCACGCCAGTTGGCAAGACACTTGATAATGGTTCTTTTTTTTTGGTTGCGGCGTCCCTAGATCACATTTGTTGTGTGGGGAGGGGGGGGGGGGTGGAGCTGAATTGTGCACTACCAAATTCTACTGCCAGCAACATTCTTCTTTTTCCTTCTGCCCCCATTGGAGCATAGGCGCTCACCCCGTGTCCTCCCCATATTTTTAACTTCTCTCTCTAGCTACCTTCTCCTTGCATTTTTTCAACTGCCTTTTTTTCTTAACCTAAATGGGTTCCAGAAATTCTAGTGATATTGCTCTCAGGGTTTCTCAACATGTCTCCTTTCCAACGCCAGCGTCTTTTCTTCAACTTTTGGTCCATTGGAACTTTAGTTCTCTCCCAAAGCTCTACATTAGGGATTTTATCATACATTTTAATTCCCCCTATTCTGCGCAGACACCAGTTAACGAATATTTGTAGATTAGTAATTGTTTGAGTTGTTCTTCATGTTTCCGCTCCAAACGCCGTTACCGATTTGATATTAGAATTCAACATTTTAAGTTTGGTATTAGTTTTAATTTCTGTTGACCTCCACAAATTTCCAAGTGCTTTGCAAACCATTCTTACCTTATGTATTCTTATGTTAATATCTTTATCAGTTCGTCCATCTTTACCTACATAACTTTCCAAATAAGTGTATGATTTCACTTTCTTATTTTATTGTTATTTTACTAAAGTGATTATTCCCATGTCTTTTTGTGTGTGTGTGTGTGCGTGCGCGTGTGTGTGTTTTTTTTTTTTTAAATATTGTCTGCTCTCCGCTTCTTTCAGTTTTAATCTCTTTGGGGGATTTCTGTAGGTCTCATCTACTGTGACCATACTGATCCTGCTGCCCGCTCCCACATTCAGTCTCCGCCTCTAGCGGGCGCCCGCCCGCCAGCCCGCCACTGTTGTATTAAACTTTCATGATATTCTTGATTATACAGCCTCATTGACTATGTAAATAACATCTCATCAATATTCATATCACGTGCCTGCCTGTTTAGTATTCAAGTTTATTCCGTTCAGCCCGCTGGTGATTGGTGTGTCTTGGAATAACGTTCTAGCTCTGTTTTTTCCCGACTTCGACATATATTCGTTGTCTGGCTGTGCATGAGTGTCTCTTTGCGTAAGAGTATTTGCTTGTCTGTGCCTTAACAGGAGGGTATGTCTGTTGTCTCTCTGTGCCTGCAGTATATGTGTCAGCTGTTTGCGTAGGTTGTTGGTTTGTCCATCTGTTTATGCATGCGACATTGCAACCTGTCTGGGATGGGGAGATTGCATTAAATCTCACTAACTCTGTAGTTGTCTGTGTGTGAGTGGACGTGTGTATATGTGGTGGAATCGGTCTGTGTGTGTGAGTGCTTGCATACGAGTTTGCTTGGTTGTGTGTCTGTGTGGTTGTTTTTCTACCTCAGGGCAGAAGAGGAAAGACTCAACAAGTCTGTTAGATCCCCCTACATCTCAGGACAGAAGAGGAAAGACTAAACAAGACTGCAAGATACCCCTGCATCTCAGGACAGAAGAGGAAAGACTAAACAAGACTGTTAGGTTCCCCAACATCTCAGGGCATAAGAGGAAAAACTAAACAAGAATGTTAAGTCCCCCTATATGTCAGGGCAGAAGAGGAAAGACTTAACACGAATGTTATGTCCGCTATATCTCAGGACAGAAGAGGAAAGTCTAAACAAGACTATTAGGTACCCCTATATCTCAGGGCGTAAGAGGAAAAACTAAACAAGAATGTTAGGTCCCCTACATCTCATGACAGAAGAGGAAAGACTGTATCCATTTGAAGAAGTGCTAAGACTGGCACTAAACTGACATGACCTCAGATGAGTCTCTTCTCTGATGTCAACACAGGTGAGTGCCTTTAATGATATTTATCTTCTTGTCCAACAGACGATGGACACCCACAGCAGCGCGAACCCACTGCTCCAGCAGCTGCCAGCGCTACAGCAGATAGCCTTGGGTCTGACCCCAGCCGGAGGTACAGGCCTCATAGTACAGAATCAGTTTGGGCAGCAGGCAGTGGTCAGTGCACATGTGTGTTTCTGTTTGTCTTTATGGGAAGCCATCTATGTGAATGCTACAGTCCCAGTGTGGGTTACGGGACCCCATTGAGGGGAAAACAAGAGTCTACTTACTGCCTACCCAACAAGCATGTATAAAAGTGGACTAAGTGGGAGCTTCCTTCGCAGTTGGAGTGCATCTGATTGAGAGTCCAGGAACCAGCAGCCTGCATTAAAATAAGCTAGATCTGTAAAATGGATGTGCATGCAACAGAGAGCCCAGAAGTGGATAAGCAACCAGAACTTTTCTCAGGAGTTTACAGCCAATGAATATGAAGAAGAAGAAGAATGTTACAGTGCGCCAGTGGCAGCATATAGCTAAAAGTAATGGTGGTGATGCTTCAGAAAACTGTTGGTTCATTGTTTTTAATATTGTGTAATTCCTGTGTGGGTTCCGGGGGGAGGGGGGGGGGGGGGGTTGACTCCCTGCCTACTGTCAAGTTTGTCATAAGGTCAACTAGTTAGGCACGTTTCCTTTAAATTTTGAGTGCACCCAAAGTTTACTTAAATTTGATAAAATTTTAAACATTAAAATTTTTTTTTATAAAAGCCTCAATTTTTACAATTCAGGCTTTATCCATTATTTTGAAAACAAAATTTATTCTCCTTTGCCTAAATGTTGAATCAAGAATCGACATCACAGCACTCAGGACACCCCCAAAAGCACTCTGTCCCCATCTTCAGCAGCAAGTGAAGAGTTTCAATTCCGATGGTACCAGTAACTGTCTGATTGTTTGTTTGTCTCACCCTTCCCTTGAGTGTTGAGCATCAGCCAGATCCCCTGATAACTCCCCGCAGCGCCATTCTCCTCAGACTTTAATGATCTGTTTGTGTTTCCTCACTGTTCACTCGCTCCCAAAGGGCCCTCACAACATCTAGCTTGTCATACATCAATTTCACCACCAAGTGGTGCAGAACCGGCCAGAGTATCTGTCTGGTCATTTCCGAACACACCGGCATGACCTGGAGAAAAATGCAAAAGATGCCAACTCTGCATGGAGCATGCTTGTCTCCACTTTCTCAACATGCTCTGTGAGTCAGTTACACTTATGGCATGTGTGTACAGCTGATTTTCAAGTCAGTGGAAGGTAGCAGTGACTGCCTCCACCTCCATTCTCAAACTAGATGTTGTGATATCATATGCAGACTTTGTTGCACTAAGCGACATCCATTTGCTTTTGCTCTGAACCCCCATGCACTTCGTCTGCCCCTCAGTACAGAACCATTTGTATAGATAATCACATAACCTGGTGCAAACTGTCACGAATCATTTGTTGAACTTAAACTTTGCCTGAGAAGATTTATAAAACAGTTTTGGCACTGCATTTGCAACAGTGTCTCTTACCTTATTTGCAGCTTCTATCTTGGGCATGTGTGAATGCGCATGATGGTTAAGCACAGGATTTTGTAATTTCTTTCAAGATGTGCCACTGACATTAAGTTTAAAGATTATATAATTTACAAGTATAAAGTATTAAAGAAAGAATGAAAAAAAAAACACAGAAAACAGACTAATTATTTTTAATGTTAATGATAATATCAAATGAAAATACGGTGTGCTGCAAGTTGTGCAGTGCCTATGCACCAGCCACCAGTAGTGTTGTTTTAACAAACCAGCACTGTGTACTCTTTATTTTTTAAGCACACAAGCTCCCCTATCTCTACACACGCATACCACACACACGCATGCATGCACGTGCACATACACACATAATTTAGCCAACCCTGGACCCCACACATCTAGCTAACACAGATATCTACACACGTAGCTTACACAAATCCCCACACATGTAGCTAACACAGATCCCCACACATGTAGCTTACACAGATCCCCACACATGTAGCTTACACAGATCCCCACACATGTAGCTTACACAGATCCCCACACATGTAGCTTACACAAATCCCCACACATGTAGCTTACACAAATCCCCACACATGTAGCTTACACAAATCTCCACACATGTAGCTTACACAAATCCCCACACATGTAGCTTACACAAATCCCCACACATGTAGCTTACACAGATCCCCACACATGTAGCTTACACAGATCCCCACACATGTAGCTTACACAGATCCCCACACATGTAGCTTACACAGATCCCCACACATGTAGCTTACACAGATCCCCACACATGTAGCTTACACAGATCCCCACACATGTAGCTTACACAGATCCCCACACATGTAGCTTACACAAATCTCCACACATGTAGCTTACACAAATCCCCACACATGTAGCTTACACAGATCCCCACACATGAAGCTTACACAGATCCCCACACATGTAGTTTACACAGATCCCCACACATGAAGCTTACACAGATCCCCACACATGTAGCTTACACAAATCCCCACACATGTAGCTTACACAGATCCCCACACATGTAGCTTACACAGATCCCCACACATGTAGCTTACACAGATCCCCACACATGTAGCTTACACAGATCCCCACACATGTAGCTTACACAGATCCCCACACATGTAGCTTACACAGATCCCCACACATGAAGCTTACACAGATCCCCACACATGTAGTTTACACAGATCCCCACACATGAAGCTTACACAGATCCCCACACATGTAGCTTACACAGATCCCCACACATGAAGCTTACACAGATCCCCACACATGTAGCTTACACAGATCCCCACACATGTAGCTTACACAGATCCCCACACATGAAGCTTACACAGATCCCCACACATGTAGCTTACACAGATCCCCACACATGTAGCTTACACAGATCCCCACACATGTAGCTTACATAGATATCTATACCTGTAGCTTACACAGATCCCCACACATGTAGCTTACACAGATCTCCACACATGTAGCTTACACAGATCCCCACACATGAAGCTTACAAAGATCCCCACACATGTAGCTTACACAGATCCCCACACATGTAGCTTACACAGATCCCCACACATGTAGCTTACACAAATCCCCACACATGTAGCTTACACAGATCCCCACACATGTAGCTTACACAGATCCCCACACATGTAGCTTACACAGATCCCCACACATGTAACTTACACAGATCCCCACACATGTAGCTTACAATGATCCCCACTTATTTAGCTTACATAGATCATTACACGTTTTGTTTGCACAGATCCTCACACATTTAACTTTTATAAGATCTCTGCTTTTTTAACTTACGCAGATCCCCACACATATAGCTTACAAAGATCCCCACACATATAGCTTATGCAGATCCACAAACATATAGCTTATGTAAATCCCCACACATATAGCTTATGCAGATCCCCACACATATAGCTTACACAGATCCCCACACATATAGCTCACACAGATCCCCACACATATAGCTTATGCAGATCCTCACACATATAGCTAACTCTAGTTGTCACAGATGTCTGTAGAGACAAACAGAGAATATATATATATATATATATATATATATATATATATATATATATATATATATATATATATATATATATATATATATAATATATATATATATATATATATATATAAATATATATATATATATAGAGAGAGAGAGAGAGAGAGAGAGGGAGAGGGAGAGGGCATACAGATGTATTTGTTGATGCTGTCCTGTGATTTGCATTGTTTGCATTGGTCAATGTTTATGAAAACACCAAAAGTGTCATTAGTGACTGGAGCCAATATCCCATCATTTCTCTCCACTAGATCCCAGTTTCCTCAGGTATACCCAGTACTGGACTGTCGCTGTCTTCCCAGGATCTGCAGCAGTTTCTTCTCCAAAGCCAGCAGATGAAAGGGGTTATGTCCCCACCCAGTGGCCAACAGCCGCAGTTTGCTCACATTTTAAACCTCAGCTCAGATTCTCGAGACACCAAACCATTGTACCTAACAAACACAGCTGTAAGTTGTTGGAACTTATAGATGTCATTGTTGACTGGATCTTGTTGGGGATGAATATGATGTAATTTATTGACATTTTGTTTGTATGTGTGTGTGTGTGTGTGTGCGCGCATGTGTGTGTGAGAGAGAGAGAGAGAGAGTGAGTGTGTGAGAGTGATGTCATTGTTTACTGATATTGTTTATTTGCACATATGAGGTGACATGTTCTGCTGGCATTGTGTGTGTGTGTGTATGCACGCATATGCGTGCATGAGAGAGAGGGAGGGAGGGAGATTTCATTGTTTACTGACATTGTGTGTGATTTAATTATTTACTAACATTGCATGTATATGTGATGTCATTATTTGCCTTTGTGTGAGTGTGTGATGTCATTGTCTGCTGACAGTAGATGTATGTCTGTTGTCATTGTTTACTGACATTGTGTTTGGTTTCATTATTTACTGACATTGCATGTATATGTGATGTAATTATTTGCCTTTGTGTGCATGTGTGATGTAGTTTTTTAAAACTGAAACTGTATGAGTAGGTATAGTTTAATGATGTTGGCCATGTGTAGTATCATTGTTTTCTTGAGAGTGTGTGTTTGTGCGTGCAGGCAAGTGGGTGTCATTTTGAATCAGTGATGTCATTGTTTATAAATATTTATATGGATGTATGTGACATATTATTGTGAATGTGTGTGTGTGGTGAATTTTACTGACATTATTGAAATGTTTACTGGCATGGATATGTGTGGCATCATTGTTTACTAATATTCTAGATCTGTGTGGCATCATTGTTTACTAAAATTTTAGGTATGTGTGGCATCATTGTTTACTGACATGGATAGGTGTGGCATCTTTGTTAACAGACATGGACATGTGTGGCATCATTGTTTACTGATATAGATGTGTGTGACATCATTGTTTACTGACATGGATAGGTGTGGCATCATTGTTTACTGACATGGATGTGTGTGACATCATTGTTTACTGACAGGGGTGTGTGTGGCATCATTGTTTAATGGCATGGCTACTTGTCTATTGTTTACTAACATGGATATTTGGGACATCATTGTTTACCGACATGGATAGTTGGGGCATCATTGTTTACTTGCATGATAGTTGGGGCATCATTGTTTACCGAGATGGATAGTTGGGGCATCATTGTTTACCAAGATGGATAGTTGGGGCATCATTGTTTACCGGCATGGATAGTTGAGGCATCATTGTTTACTGACATGGATAGTTGGGGCATCATTGTTTACTGGCATGGATAGTTGGGGCATCATTGTTTATTGACATGGATATTTGGGGCATCATTGTTTACCGAGATGGATAGTTGGGGCATCATTGTTTACTGGCATGGATAGTTGGGGCATCATTGTTTACTGGCATGGATAGTTGAGGCATCATTGTTTACTGACATGGATAGTTGAGGCATCATTGTTTACTGGCATGGATAGTTGAGGCATCATTGTTTACTGACATGGATAGTTGGGGCATCATTGTTTACTGACATGGATAGTTGGGGCATCATTGTTTACTGGCATTGATAGTTGAGGCATCATTGTTTACTGACATGGATAGTTGGGGCATCATTGTTTACTGGCATGGATAGTTGAGGCATCATTGTTTACTGACATGGATAGTTGGGGCATCATTGTTTACTGACATGGATAGTTGAGGCATCATTGTTTACTGACATGGATAGTTGAGGCATCATTGTTTACTGGCATGGATAGTTGGGGCATCATTGTTTACTGGCATGGATAGTTGGGGCATCATTGTTTACTGGCATGGATAGTTGGGGCATCATTGTTTACTGGCATGGATAATTGGGGCATCATTGTTTACTGGCATGGATAGTTGGGGCCTCATTGTTTACTAACATTATTTCTGTGTTATATTTCTGGTGATTAGAATTGTCATTTGTGGGAATAAATATCAGACCCAGGATTCAGTTGAAAGATGATCTTTTCAGGTATCAAATGCATCGCCGGTCAGCTCACCATCCCTACGGCCCATTGGTACATCAGCACCAACTTACTCAGCCTGCACATCATCATCCTCCTCCTCCTCAGCAGCACATCTACAGACTCTGCAGGCATCACCAATTTCCCAGGCTCTCAGCCAGATGTTGCAGGGGGCGCAGACCGTCTCAATGATACAGGGTGGTCAACTACAGCAGTTTCTCTTGGTCAGTCCATCGCAGCTGGGTCAGTTGGCCATGCAGTCACAGCTGTTAGTTCCAAATCAGGTCAGTTTCTTCCCAACAAGGGCTCTGAGGGGGAGGGGAGGGGTATTTAAGGTGAAAGGGGAACTTATTTGAGGTGGAAGGGGGACTCATTTGAGGTGGAAGGGGGCATTTGAGGTGGAAGGGGAGACTCATGTGAGGTGAAAGTAGAACTCATTTGAGATGAAAGGGGGACTCATTTGAGGTGGAAGGGGGACTCATTTGAGGTGGAAGGGGAGACTCATGTGAGGTGAAAGGGAGACTCATTTGAGGTGAAAGGGAGACTCATGTGAGGTGAAAGGGAGACTCATTTGAGGTGAAAGGGAGACTCATTTGAGGTGGAAGGGGGATTCATTTGAGGTAAAGGGGGACTCATTTGAGATGAAAGGGGGACTCATTTGAGGTGGAAGGGGGGACTCATTTGATGTGGAAGGGGAAACATTTGAGGTAAATGGGGACTCATTTGAGGTGGAAGGGGGACTCATTTGAGGTGGAAGGGGAGACTCATGTGAGGTGAAAGGGAGACTCATTTGAGGTGAAAGGGAGACTCATGTGAGGTGAAAGGGAGACTCATGTGAGGTGAAAGGGAGACTCATTTGAGGTGAAAGGGAGACCCATTTGAGGTGGAAGGGGGATTCATTTGAGGTAAAGGGGGACTCATTTGAGATGAAAGGGGGACTCATTTGAGGTGGAAGGGGGGACTCATTTGATGTGGAAGGGGAAACATTTGAGGTAAATGGGGACTCATTTGAGGTGGAAGGGGGGACATTTGAGGTAAATGGGGACTCATTTGAGGTGGAAGGGGGACATTTGAGGTAAATGGGGACTCATTTGATGTGGAAGGGGGGACATTTGAGGTAAAGGGGGACATTTGAGATGAAAGGGGGACTCATTTGAGGTGGAATGGGGACTCATTTGAGGTGGAGGGGGGGGGGGATAAAAAGCCACTGCCCATCTGACAAGCATGTTGCATGAGGACTAATAAGGGGCACTATCTTTGAAGTCAGAGTGCATCTGCCTGAGAGCGAGGAATCAGCAGTTTGGATAAACAAATTTGTTGCAGGAATGGGGACTCATTTGAGGTGGAAGGGGGGGGGGGTGGGTGGGGGGGGGGGGGGGGGGAAAGCCACTGCCCATCTGACAAGCATGTTGCATGAGGACTAATAAGGGGCACTATCTTTGAAGTCAGAGTGCATCTGCCTGAGAGCGAGGAATCAGCAGTTTGGATAAACAAATTTGTACAGATCTGTAAATGTAAATGTTTCTGCCATTGAAAGCTAAGAAGAAGAAAAAGAGAGTTTTTGTTTAGTTCAAAGTCAGATCAGTTCCTGAATGATAGTTCCAAGTTCATTCTGTAGCATGATTGTGATCCTCTATGTATTTGTCTGCAGTCAGTAGTTGGCTCTCCTGTCAAATCCGGACGAAGAATAAACAGCCGTGGACGAGTTAGTCAGAGTTCTCTCCCTTGGCCGCACTCCGAACAGTAATCGGAAAACAAACGAAATAAACGACACACTTACCTATCATCCTGCGGTTGCGTGTAGGGCTGCGTACGGTTTCGTGAGGCATTGTGAATGGTTGTGTAGTCATCATCATGCGGTTGTTGGGTTAGAGTTAGGGGTAGGGGTAGGGTTAGGGTTAGGGGTAGGGTTAGGGGTAGGGTTAGGGGTAGGGGTAGGGTTAGGGGTAGGGTTAGGGTTAGGGGTCGGGTTAGGGGTAGGGTTAAGGGTAGGGTTAAGGGTAGGGTTAGGGTTAGGGGTAGGGTTAGGGTTAGATGTGAAAATTTTGACGTAGGATTTCGAAATACTGGCCGACAATCAGATGTTTGTGGGAGTGGCGCCACTGAAACTCTGCCAAATATGACGCCAATAGCGTGCGGCTGGTGCCCCCAATCGTTGGCGAATTGTGCGTTTGTTTAGCATCCAGAGACCCTCTATTGTTTGTGTGTGTATGGGACTGTGCGCGATTATAGGGAACTCCGGCGTTAAAATTGTCAAATATTACGCTAAACTTAACCCTACCGCTAACCCTAATCCTAATTCTACTCCCTAGCCCTAACCCCTACCCCTAACCACGCAAATTTATCGATCATTAAAGCATACAAATCGGCAAAAACCAACAAACGAAACACACCCAAAAAAAAAAAAAACCAGATTTGTCCTGCAGCGTCGAAAAAAAACCCAGATCTGGGGGAAACAACCAAGCATTGGCAGCCCTGATGTCGACGTCACTGTCTTCTTTGTTTCGTTGTGGCTTTTCCGATCACTGTTTGCAGTGTGATCAAGGGAGAGAACTCTGACTAAGTCGTCCAAGGCATTTTAGTCTTCGTCCGGATTTGACAGGAGTACCCAGTAGTTCATATAATAAAATCATTCTCTATGTTTTTGTCTGCAGTCAGTAGTTCATATAATAAAATCATTCTCTATGTTTTTGTCTGCAGTCAGTAGTTCATATAATAAAATCATTCTCTATGTTTTTGTCTGTATTAATTAGTTTTTATGATATAATTTATCCTCTGTGTGCAGTCAGTAGTTCCCATGTTTTTGTCTGTATTAATTAGTTTTTATAATATAATTTATCCTCTGTGTGTCTGTAGTCAGTAGTTCCTATTACAAAATGTTCCTCTTTTGTGTCTGTAGCGAATAGTTCCTATTAAAAAAAAAGAGCCTCTATTTGTCTTTAGTCATTAGTTCCTATAATAAAATCATTCTCCTTGTTTTTTGTTTGTATTCATTCGTTTCTAAAATAAAATCCTCTTCATGTCTATAGCCAGTAGTTCCTATTAAACAAATAAGATCCTATATTTGTCTTAAGTCATTAGTTCCTATAATAAAATGGTCCTCCATTTATCTGTCATTAGTTCCTATCATAAAGTCGCCCTCTGTGTATCTGTAGTCAGTAGTTCCTATACTGAAATAACCCCTTGTGTATTTGTCTGTAGTCAGTAGTTCCTATAAAAAAATCGCTCTCTATGTATTTGTAGTCAGTAGTTCCTATAATAAGATCCCGTATATGTCAGTAGTCAGTAGTGCCTGAAATAAAATGATTATCTATGTATTTGTCTGTAGTCGATAATTTATAAAATAAAATGATCCTTTCTGTGTCCAAAGTCAGTAGTTCCTAAAATAGAATGATTCTCTTTGTGTGTAACTCTAATTCCTATAATGAAATCACTGCCTGTGTACTTGTCTGTAGTCAATAGTTGCTACAATAAAACGATTTTCTGTGTGTCTGTAGTCGATAGTTCCTACAGTGAAATGACCCACTAGTCCTTGTCTGTAGTCAGTTTGTTTACTGATCTTCAAACAGGGTACAATGCCACTATTATCAGCTGGCAACCTGGCCATGCTCACACAGCCGGTCACCACCACATCACAGCAGCAACAGCAGGAGCAGCAGCTACAACAGCAACAGCAGCCAGAATCACCAGGAAGACTGCCAGAGCAAAGTTCTCCCTCTGGACAAGACAGTCCAAGGGAGAACTCTCCAGTTCTGATGAATACCGGCGATGTCATGGTCTGTCTCATTATGCTGTGTGCTTGTTATCTGTCTGTCTGTCTGTCTGTCTCATTGTTCTGTGTGCTTGTTGTGTGTCTTTCTGTTTGTCTCATTGTACTGTGTGCTAGTTGTCTGTGTCATTGTGCCTTATGCTGTGTTATTGTTTCTGTCTTGCTGTCTGTCTTGTGCTGTGTGCTTGTTGTCTCTTGTGTTATCTCATTGTGCTGTGTTATTGTGTTGTTTCTTATTTTGCTATGTGCTTGTTGTCTCTCTTGTCTATCTAATTCTGCTGTATGCTTGTCGTCTCTCTTGTCTGTCTAATTGTGCTATCTTATTGTGCTGTATGCTTGTTGTCTCTCTTGTCTATCTAATTCTGCTGTGTGCTTGTTGTTTCTCTTGTCTATCTAATTCTGCTGTATGCTTGTTGTCTCTCTTGTCTATCTAATTGTGCTGTATGCTTGTTGTCTCTCTTGTCTATCTAATTGTGCTGTATGCTTGTTGTCTCTCTTGTCTATCTAATTCTGCTGTGTGCTTGTTGTCTCTCTTGTCTATCTAATTGTGCTGTATGCTTTTTGTCTCTCTTGTCTATCTAATTCTGCTGTGTGCTTGTTGTCTCTCTTGTCTATCTAATTGTGCTGTATGCTTCTTGTCTCTCTTGTCTATCTAATTGTGCTGTGTGCTTGTTGTCTCTCTTGTCTATCTAATTCTGCTGTATGCTTCTTGTCTCTCTTGTCTATCTAATTCTGCTCTGTGCTTGTTGTCTCTCTTGTCTATCTAATTCTGCTGTAGGCTTGTTGTCTCTCTTGTCTATCTAATTCTGCTGTGTGCTTTTTGTCTCTCTTGTCTATCTAATTCTGCTGGGTGCTTGTTGTCTCTCTTGTCTATCTAATTGTGCTGTATGCTTTTTGTCTCTCTTGTCTATCTAATTCTGCTGTGTGCTTGTCGTCTCTCTTGTCTATCTAATTGTGCTGTATGCTTGTTGTCTCTCTTGTCTATCTAATTCTGCTGTGTGCTTGATGTCTCTCTTGTCTATCTAATTGTGCTGTCTTATTGTGCTGTGTGCTTGTTCTCTCTTTTTATCATTCTTATTGGCAACTACTGTCAGTGGTTGTCTTCCTTGTCTGTCTCATTGACAGCTACTTCATCATGTGGGTTATGGGGTGCATTTGGGGAGGGAGAGGGGGGGGGGGGGGGGATAGACCACTACCTATTGCAAGAAGCATATCATAAAAGGCGACTAATTAATGTGTTTCCTTCAAAGTCAGAGTGTATCTGTAAGAGAGGCGAGGAACCAACAGTCTGCATACAGATTAAGCCAGATCTGTTTAAACAGATGTGCCAGATATTCTGGAACAATACCAGAGTCGAGAAGTGGACAAACAGCCAGAACTTTCTGCCAGAGTGAATGCTAAATGCTGAGAAGAAGAAGACAGCTAATGTCAGCTGAATGTTATCATGTGGGATGTGGTTAGTGAACCTCATCTCATCTACAGTTATTTGGTTGATGAACTTTATCTACAAGTATGATGTGGTATTGTGTTTAACAAAACAACAACAGTAAATGTTCCTTTTCCACATATAGGGCTAGACATATATTTTTATAGACCAGTCGGCACAAGATGGGTGATGTAGTCAACATCGTGCCAGCCACTTTTACTTCCCGTAACTGCACCCGGTACCCACTCAAGGCTGGGTCGACTTAGGAGTCAAGGTCAATTTTTAGAAAAAGTCTGCCTGCACCAGTGGGTATTGTGTTTGATGAACTTTATCTACAAGTAGGATATGATTTTATGGTTGATGAACTTCATCTACAAGTATGATATGATTGTATTGTTGATGAACTTCATCTACAAGTAGGATATGATTTTATGGTTGATGAACCTAATCTACAAGTAGGATATGATTTTATGGTTGATGAACCTTATCTACAAGTAGGATATGATTTTATGGTTAATGAACCTACAATTATAATGTAATATTGTGGTTAATGAACCTCATCTGCAAGAATGATGTGATTTTGGGGTTAATGAACCTTATCTGCAAGAATGGTGTGATATTGGGGTTAATGAACCTCATCTTCTAGAATGGTGTCATATCGGGGTTAATGAACCTCATCTGCAAGAATGATGTGATTTTGTGGTTAATGATCCTCATCTACAAGTATGATGTATTGTGGTTGATGAACCACATCTACAAGTATGATGTGATATTGAGGTTAATAAGCCTCACCTACAATTATGATGTGATATTGGGGTAAATAAATCTCATCTGCAAGTATGACGTGATATTGTGGTTAGTGAACCATATCTAACACATGATGTGATTTTATGGTTGATTCTAAACCTCATGTCTTAGTTAACTGTGATCACTGTGGTCATTACAGGAGGAATCCATGACCATCGACCTGGAGGAGCTGGAGTTGTTTGCCAAGACATTTAAACGAAGGAGGATTGAACTGGGTATGTGCTACATTGGTGTCACATGTCACATTGCATTGGTTGATATTTGCATATTTGAGGCTTACATCTATATGTAGACGTTAGCATCTAAACATGGAAGGTTGACATTTGTATGTGGAGGTTAGCATCTCTATATGGGAGGTTAGCATTTATTTATACATGGGAGGTTAGCATTTATACATGGGAGGTTAGCATTTATACATGGGAGGTTAGCATTTATACATGGGAGGTTAGCATTTATACATGGGAGGTTAGCATTTATACATGGGAGGTTAGCATTTATACATGGGAGGTTAGCATTTATACATGGGAGGTTAGCATTTATACATGGGAGGTTAGCATCTTTACATGGGAAGTTGACATCTGTATGTGCAAGTTGGCATCTTCACCTGGAAGGTTGACATCTGTGTGTGGAGGTTGGTATCTACACTTAGTAGGTTAGCATTTGTACAGGGAGGTTGACATCAGTATGTGGAGGTTAGCATCTGTGCAGGTAGGTTGACCTCAGTATGTGGAGGCTAGCATCTGTGCAGGTAGGTTGACCTCAGTATGTGGAGGTTAGCATCTGTGCAGGTAGGTTGACCTCAGTATGTGGAGGTTAGCATCTGTGCAGGTAGGTTGACCTCAGTATGTGGAGGTTAGCATCTGTACAGGGAGGTTGACATCTTTATGTGGAGGTTAGCATCTGTACAGGAAGGTTGACATGTGTATGTTGAGGTTAGCATCTGTACAGGGAGGTTGACATCTTTATGTGGAGGTTAGCATCTGTACAGGGAGATTGACATCTTTATGTGGAGGTTAGCATCTGTACAGGGAGATTGACATCTTTATGTGGAGGTTAGCATCTGTACAGGAAGGTTGACATGTGTATGTTGAGGTTAGCATCTGTACAGGGAGGTTGACATCTTTATGTGGAGGTTAGCATCTGTACAGGGAGGTTGACATCTTTATGTGGAGGTTAGCATCTGTACAGGGAGGTTGACATCTTTATGTGGAGGTTAGCATCTGTACAGGGAGGTTGACATGTGTATGTTGAGGTTAGCATCTGTACAGGAAGGTTGACATCTTTATGTGGAGGTTAGCATCTGTACAGGGAGGTTGACATCTTTATGTGGAGGTTAGCATCTGTACAGGGAGGTTGACATCTTTATGTGGAGGTTAGCATCTGTACAGGAAGGTTGACATGTGTATGTTGAGGTTAGCATCTGTACAGGGAGGTTGACATCTTTATGTTGAGGTTAGCATCTGTACAGGAAGGTTGACATGTGTATGTTGAGGTTAGCATCTGTACAGGAAGGTTGATATGTGTATGTTGAGGTTAACATCTGTACAGGGAGGTTGACATGTGTATGTTGAGGTTAACATCTGTACAGGAAGGTTGACATCTTTATGTTGAGGTTAGCATCTGTACAGGGAGGTTGACATCTTTATGTTGAGGTTAGCATCTGTACAGGGAAGTTGACATCTTTATGTTGAGGTTAGCATCTGTACAGGGAGGTTGACATGTGTATGTGGAGGTTAGCATCTGTACAGGGAGGTTGACATCTTTATGTGGAGGTTAGCATCTGTACAGAGAGGTTGACATCTTTATGTGGAGGTTAGCATCTGTACAGGGAGGTTGACATGTGTATGTTGAGGTTAGCATCTGTGCAGGAAGGTTGACATCTTTATGTTGAGGTTAGCATCTGTACAGGAAGGTTGACATGTGTATGTTGAGGTTAGCATCTGTGCAGGAAGGTTGACATGTGTATGTTGAGGTTTGCATCTGTACAGGAAGGTTGACATGTGTATGTTGAGGTTAGCATCTGTATGGGAAGTTGACCACAACATTTTGCACATTTTGTCTCTGACTGTGATAACCCAGTTTCTATCCATTGCAACCAGTTTTCTTCATGAATACTTACCTGTCCCTTGCACTGATTTTCAACAGCATCTTTTGTCTTTTTATGCCCAAAATAGATAGATTTTGACAGATTTCATTTGAATTCGATATCTTCTTTTTGGCAATCGCCGGCTGTAAACTCCAGTTAAAAGTTCTGATGATTTGTCCTTTTCTGGATTTTGGTCTTATTCCAGACTTGAGTTTTACAGATCTGGTTTATTTGTGTGCAGACCGTTGGTTTATCACTTTTCAGGCAGATGTGACCTCGAAGGAAGCTCCCCTAATTAGCCGCTTTATACGACACGCTTGTTAATGAGGCAGTGTGGGTCTATCTCCCCCCCCCAGAATAGGACCTCGGATTGTTTACAAAACTGTCTCTCCCCACCACCACCCAGTGTAATAATTTGGTAAAGTATTTCTGGTTTGGAATTACTGGAGACTATCTAGTAATTCTCCCAGGTTGTAAAATATATTTGTTTTACAGGTTGTAAAATATATTTGTTTGCCAAATTTCCCATAGGTTGTAAAATTGTTTGCCCGGCTGCACACAGGTTGTAAATGTCTTTGCTTAGCTGCCAGGTTTCAACATACAGGTTGTAAAATTGTTTGCCAAGTTGCAGCCAGGTTTTAAATGTGTTTGTCTGCCAGGTTTCACAGTTTTAAAATTGTTTGTCTGCTAGGTTTCACATGTCATGACATTGTTTGTCTGCTAGGTTTCATTTCATGTGATTATATTGTTTGTCTGCTAGGTTTCACATGTCATGACATTGTTTGTCTGCTAGGTTTCATTTCACGTCATTATATTGTTTGTCTGCTAGGTTTCATTTCACGTCATTATATTGTTTGTCTGCTAGGTTTCATTTCACGTCATTATATTGTTTGTCTGCTAGGTTTCACATGTCATGACATTGTTTGTCTGCTAGGTTTCACATGTCATGACATTGTTTGTCTGCTAGGTTTCATTTCACGTCATTATATTGTTTGTCTGCTAGGTTTCACATGTCATGACATTGTTTGTCTGCTAGGTTTCACATGTCATGACATTGTTTGTCTGCTAGGTTTCACATGTCATGACATTGTTTGTCTGCTAGGTTTTATTTCACGTCATTATATTTTTTGTCTGCTAGGTTTCACATGTCATGACATTGTTTGTCTGCTAGGTTTTATTTCACGTCATTATATTGTTTGTCTGCTAGGTTTCACATGTCATGACATTGTTTGTCTGCTAGGTTTTATTTCACGTCATTATATTGTTTGCTGCTAGGTTTCACATGTCATTATATTGTTTGTCTGCTAGGTTTCACATGTCATGACATTGTTTGTCTGCTAGGTTTCACATTTCATGACATTGTTTGTCTGCTAGGTTTTATTTCACGTCATGATATTGTTTTTCTGCTAGGTTTCACATGTCATGACATTCTTTGTCTACTAGGTTTAACACAGGTTATGAAACTGTTTGCCAGGTTTCACGCAGGCTGCAAAATTGTTTGCCTGCCAGGTTTCACAGTTTGTAAAATTGTCTGTCTGCAAGGTTTCACAGAGTTTGTAAAATTGTCTGTCTGCCAGGTTTCACACAGGGTGATGTTGGCTTGGCCATGGGTAAGCTGTACGGCAATGACTTCAGCCAGACGACCATTTCCAGATTTGAGGCCTTGAACTTGAGTTTTAAGAACATGTGTAAGCTGAAGCCTCTTCTACATAAGTGGCTACAGGTACACAGCCTAGCCGTTGTTCCATCCTTTGTGTTTTCTACTTTGGGTTTTCTTGTGTCTTCCATGTTGTGTTTTTCTTTGTTAACTGTTCTATTTTTTGTTGTTGCTGTTATTTTGTTTGTGTTCTTCTGCTTTTGTGTAGTTTATTGCTTTATCTATTATGTTGTTCTTTCTGTTTTGTATTTAGATCAACTTTGTGTTGTGTGTTCTTCCTTTTGTGTGTCTATGTGTGTTTCACTTTCTGTGTTGTTTTATCTTCTCTCGTTTTGTGTGTGCTAGTATGTTGTGTTTTAAAGTACAGTTGTACATTAAATGTGCACTGTCAGGTGTCTGTATGTTGTATGGTTAGACTTGACTTATGTACTCTCAGGTATCTGTACGTTGTATGGTAGACTTGACTTATGCACTGTCAGTAAAAACTTAAGTGAAATTCTGAGGCTAGGTTGATCGATTTGATTTAATTCCTAGAGAAAAAATATTCCAGACTTGTTCCTCATTCAACTGGCTAGATGCCCTGTTTTATTAAGAAAGGTCTTCTTTGCTGTCTTATCTGTACTCCTGTTCTTTGTTGTGTGCAGTAACTCCTGTTTTCACATTTCTTTGTCTGGTGTTGCTTTGTAGGGCCTGGTGTAATTTAGGTTTTCTTTTCCTCCTGACCCCCCTGGTGGGTTTTTTGCTGTTTTGGTTGCTGGTGCATGGCTTTTGTATCAGTCGCTGTGCTAGTGGCTTCATGCCAGGTTCTGGGTTTCTGCTGTGAAATGCCCCTGGGTTAACTCTGCCAGCTGTCACTTACTGAGGCTGGGACAGCCTGGGAGCCTGTTTAAGGTGGGGTCAACCTGGAAGCCTGTTTGAGGATGATGCTGATTCAAACCCAAGACCTTCAGCCTTGTAAGCAAGTGTCTAACCAGTATACTACAGAAACTTTCACAAAATCACTAATCCATAGGTGTGTCAGTACAAGTGAAACGACAGCACAATTGTTGTTATCACTGCTAGTTTTAATTTATTGGTACAACTCTGCTACCTAACACTCATGTCGCAAGAGTTGACTTATTAGGGATGTCTCTTTCAAAGTGGAAGTGTATATGCCTGAGAGGCAAGGGACCAACATAAAAATAAGCCAGAACTGTAAAACGGATGCGCATGCAGAACTCGGGTTTTTGAACAAGACTAAGTCCAGAAGTGGATGAACAACCAGAACTGTCTTCCAGAATTTACATCTGTGAACGTGGAAAAGAAGAACATTGTATTTTTCCATGTGTAAAATATGTTTTCCCAAACTTTCCTAAGTTCAGAATTACAGATGACAGAAGGAAAATAGTCAGGACAGAAATGAAATGTTTTCATACTATGCTAGGTGTAATGAGGAAAGACCAACTTAAGAATGATGATTTCAGGAGGAGGGTTGGCACAGAGCCAATACTGCATTATAGGTAGACAACAAATCAAATGTCACAACTGAAAAGTACAAAGCAAACAGAAGGGCCCGTTCCAGAGATCTCTTCCTGCCCTGACACCATGAAGCATTCCAGGTGTAGAGAAAGGAGAAGATAAATGATGGATCGCCTTATGTATCGGATGTGTTTAAAACATTTATTTCTTAATTTTGGGCTAAAAAATAGGGATCGGCTTATACATGGATGTGTCTTATAGTGGGACAGATATGATATATTGATATCAGACTGCTGTTTTCATTCACTGATATCACTCAGCTGTTTTCATTCATTGATATCACTCAGCTGTTTTCATTTGTTAATATCACTCTGTTTTCTCTTATTGAAATCACTCAGCTGTTTCCATTTGTTGATGTCACTCTACTGTTTTCTTTTATTGAAATCACTGTGCTATTTTCATTGATTTCCCAGGATGCAGACCTCATGGCACGCAATCCCACCCCGCTGTCCCCAGGCAGTGTAGCTGGTGAAAGTGTGGGCAGGAGGAGGAAAAAGCGAACCAGCATAGACACAGCCATACGTGTGGCTCTAGAGAAAAGCTTTCAGGCCAACCCCAAACCGACCTCAGAGGATATCACGCTGATTGCTGATTCCCTCAACATGGAGAAAGAGGTGAGGGCACCAGTGACTTTACTTGACATGACACTGGTTATACATATGGTCACCTCTCTCTCGCACAAACTCTCTTTCTATCTGACCTGTTGTCTCCTCTTTGCTTTCTGATCTAGTTCTGTGTTTTCCCCCTGCTTCAGATCTGTGACATGCTGTTGTGTAAGACTATCTCACAACAGTGCAGACCTGATAAAGAGAACTCACCGGACGCCCAAGAATTTTTATTAAATTTTTTTTTCTTTCTAAATCAGACATTCGTCTTATCCAGATAAGTGTTCAAGCAAGAAAACTTGCAGCAGATTAACAAATTGTTCTTTACTAATGAAATCGGCCACATCTGAGATCATTTTAAGAGGTTTTTACTGTAAAATGTTTTCTTTCCTTTAACTGTCTTAGCAAGTTCCCTTTATTCCTGTTATTATAAGTTTACGAGTATCTCCACATGTGTTCCGCCATTCTTATGATTATCTTAACATGTGTTTTCTCTGTTCTTTCACTAGGTTATCAGAGTGTGGTTCTGCAACAGACGTCAAAAGGAGAAGCGTATTAATCCGCCCAGCTCTAGCTTCATCCATAGCCAGCGGATTCAGCTGAGTGCAGTAGCGGAGGGCAACTCTAACGGAACCTGTAAAACAAATGGAGATGATGGCGGGATCACCTCCCAGCAGGAGCATATCAACCATTTATTCAAACAGCACCAGCAGAAACAGCGTTTGCAGCAGCATTTTGTAGCAGAGCTGGCAGACGCCACATCACCATCATCACCTCTGTCACAACAGTTTTCTGACAGCACCATCCTCATCACTAGCAGTGGTACTACGGCCAGCAGTGACAGTACTCAGTCTTCCAGCAGCAGTACCTTCTCCACAATGCCGTCCTCTATTTCCAACGGAAGTTTGCTGTTTTCACCATCAATTCTGTCTGATCACACCACAGCCAACCATGTTGCCACCACAGATGCCTCCCTCACTTCCCTGGATCAGAAACCTTGCAGCCTTTCCTCAGCCAGCACACAGCTTCAAACTTCAGGCATTCTGGCCTTCAAGTCTCTACCTTCTTCGCATCAGCTGAGTTTATACCCAGTCACAGCTTCCGCTTTGTTGAAAAGTGGGCCTGCTTCATCCAATGGGCCATCATTGCAACTCTTTTCTCATCTCTCCTCTAATGGTGATGCTTGAGATCAGTATGTTTGCTTGCATGCCGCTGGCCATGAACTTTTTCATTATTGACCTCTGTGAGAGTCGTGTACGATGATGATAATGAACACTTGCGTGTTAAGAAAGTCTGCCTTCTACATGATGAGGGGAGATGTGTTATCTTCGACCAGGTCTGAGTTAATTAACACCAGACATGTCTTCCGTTCCACAAAGTTGGGATTATGTTACACCAGACATGTCTCCCTTCCACACAGTCAGGGTTATGTTAACACTAGACATGTCTCCCTTCCACACAGTCAGGGTTATGTTAACACTAGACATGTCTCCCTTCCACACAGTCAGGGTTATGTTAACACTAGACTTCCCCATAACACCAACTATGACTGAATCCAGGGGAGACATGTCTAGTGTACGTGCGAAGGGGAAATGAGCACTGGGGGAGACTGTTCCACAGTGTTGTGGAAAAGGGTGTCTGACTGTTTTGTGTATGTTGTCAACACGTGGGTAAGTGCATCTTTCTTCAAAAGGCAAATATGTCAGCAGCAAATTTTCAGTGAATTCCCACTACCATAGTGATTTGTGTCTGGTCTAGCTATGACCTAGAGGAAATGTAGCACATCTGAACCAGGTTATGTACCTGTGACACTACAGTTACCCTTGTCTCATGTCGGACACTAAGTTACATTTCTGGGACTTACAACTTATATGCAACCATGATGTCTTGTATATAGAACTGTCACATGTGTTATCTTGTGCTCTACCTCGTGATTGTGTAGACACTATAGCAGGCTGTAATTTTGTTGAGACTGTGGACACTATAGCAGGCTGTAATTTTGTTGAGACTGTGGACACTATAGCAGCCTGTCATCTTGTTGAGAATGTGAACACTACAGCAGCATGTCATTTTGTTGAGACTGTGAACACTACAGCAGGCTGTCATCTTGTTGAGACTGTGAACACTACAGCAGCCTGTCATCTTGTTGAGACTGTGGACACTCTACAGCAAGCTGTAATTTGGTTGAGACTGTGGACACTACAGCAGCATGTCATTTTGTTGAGACTGTGGACACTACAGCAGCCTGTCATCTTGTTGAGACTGTGAACACTACAGCAGCCTGTCATCTTGTTGAGACTGTGGACACTCTACAGCAAGCTGTAATTTGGTTGAGACTGTGGACACTACAGCAGGCTGTAATTTGGTTGAGACTGTGGACACTACAGCAGGCTGTAATTTGGTTGAGACTGTGGACACTACAGCAGGCTGTAATTTGGTTGAGATGGCCAACACTACAGCAGCCTGTCATTTAGTTGAGACTGTGGACACCAAAGCGGACTGAGTTTTGTTGAAATGTTTGGGATTGTATGGACACTACAGCAGACTGTCAGTTTTGTTGAAATGTTTGGGATTGTGTGGACACCAGTTTTGTTGAAATGTTTGGGATTGTGTGGACACCAGTTTTGTTAAAATGTTTGGGATTGTGTGGACACTACAGCAGACTGTCAGTTTTGTTGAAATGTTTGGGGATTGTGTGGACACAACAGTTTTGTTGAAATGTTTGGGATTGTGTGGACACCATTTTTGTTGAAATGTTTGGGATTGCGTGAACACCACTTTTGTTAAAATGTTTGGGATTGTGTGGACACTACAGCAGACTGTCAGTTTTGTTGAAATGTTTGGGATTGTGTGGACACCACAGCAGACTGTCAGTTTTGTTGAAATATTTGTGATTGTGTGGACACCACAGCAGACTGTCAGTTTTGTTGAAATGTTTGGGATTGTGTGGACACTACAGCAGACACAGTTTTGTTGAAATGTTTGGGATTGTGTGGACACTACAGCAGACTGTCAGTTTTGTTGAAATGTTTGGGATTGTGTGGACACAACAGTTTTGTTGAAATGTTTGGGATTGTGTGGACACAACAGTTTTGTTGAAATGTTTGGGATTGTGTGGACACAACAGTTTTGTTGAAATGTTTGGGATTGTGTGGACACAACAGTTTTGTTGAAATGTTTGGGATTGTGTGGACACAACAGTTTTGTTGAAATGTTTGGGATTGTGTGGACACAACAGTTTTGTTGAAATGTTTGGGATTGTGTGGACACAACAGTTTTGTTGAAATGTTTGGGATTGTGTGGACACCAGTTTTGTTGAAATGTTTGGGATTATGTGGACACTACAGCAGACTGTCAGTTTTGTTTAAATGTTTGGGATTATGTGGACACAACAGTTTTGTTGAAATGTTTGGGATTGTGTGGACACAACAGTTTTGTTGAAATGTTTGGGATTGTGTCGACACTACAGCAGATGGTCAATTTTGTTGAAATGTTTGGGATTGTGTCGACACTACAGCAGACTGTCAGTTTTGTTGAAATGTTTGGGATTGTGTGGACACCACAGCAGACTGTCAGTTTTGTTGAAATATTTGTGATTGTGTCGACACTACAGCAGATGGCCAGTTTTGTTGAAATGTTTGGGGATTGTGTCGACACTAGAGCAAGCTGTCAGTTTTGTTTAAATATTTTGACTGGACACCTGTCACTTTGTTATGCTGGAAATGTGTATTATCTTTTCTAATACGTTAGTGGCATAACTGAGAGAGCCTGCTTGAACTTTTTTTTTTTAACGCTCTTAAATATTTTTGCTTCTGTGACCATAGGACAACATAGACTGAGTGAGTGAGTGTGTGTATGCTGTCAGCACATTATCATGTCCAACAATAATGCTGCCAGGCGTGTGAATTTATCTTGTACATGTTCTCTGAAAAAATAAACATTGGTTGAGTTGTTATTGTGGAGTTATTAATTTATTATGTTTGGCTGTGTCCCCTCTGTGAGGACTTGAGACGTTTTCAAATCCACATCCAGCCAGGCCACCCCTTCCCCCCCAAAAAAACTTGTCTCCCAGTTGACCTAGCCGCATAAAAAGGTGGACACGGTTGGCCTCTTTTTTTTTTCAACTCTGCTCACAAACTTCTAATCGGGCGCTGATGGGGGAAACACACTACTAATACAGAACAACATAGCACAATTTTATTAAAGAAACTTGTTCTTGGAGCAGCAAACACAATCAAAGACAGAAATGAACAAAGGCAATAAGTACAAAATCAATCACTATCCCAGCCAATTCTGATCGCATTTGCATGCCTCATAGGCCAGTGGTTTTGGTAAAACTGGTTCCTATAATTAATAATATCAACACCGTTGCTAGTGAGAAGATCTGCATTAGACGCTCTCAGACATTCTTGGAATACAACCAGTGGGACAAACTGTCACATACTCCAGCAGTTGGAACACAACCTGTGGGACAAACTGTCACATACTCCAGCAGTTGGAGCGCAACCTGTGGGACAAACTGTCACATACTCCAGCATTTGGAACACAACATGTGGGACAAACTGTCACATACTCCAGCAGTTAAAACACAACCTGTGGGACAAACTGTCACATACTCCAGCAGTTGGAACACAACCTGTGGGACAAACTGTCACATACTCCAGCAGTTGGAACACAACCTGTGGGACAAACTGTCACATAACTCTAGCATATAACCACACACCCTCACACAGTCACATAACTCTTGCATACAACCACATACTCTAGCAGACAATCACACACCCTCACACAAACTGTCACATAACTTTACCACACCCTCACACAGTCACATAACTAGCATACAACCACACGCCTTCACAAAAACTAATAACCAAAGAACTCATGTTTGTACCTGCACATTGTCACTAAACATTCTTCATTTGGGCAACACTTCACACACACACACACAAATAAATAAAAACCATTTACAGAATTGTAAACACAACCATTTACAAAATCAATAAACACAACCATTTACAAAATCAAATAAACAATCATTCACAGAAATCAAATAAACACAGCCATTTACAAAATTAAATAAACAACCATTTACAAAAGCAAATAAACACAACCATTCGCAAAATCAAAAAACCATTTACAAAATCAATAAACACAACCATTCACAAAATCAAATAAAAAACCATTTACAAAATCAAATAAACATGACAATTCACAAAATCAAATAAACTTACCGATAAATTTAAAAAAAAAAGTGTCGAACAAATAAAATGCACAAGGGATCAATTAGGTGGAATGTAAACAAACAACACATACCCTGATGAGTGGTCTTCTGTAGGCACACACAAACAGCGACAAGACTGGACCTCCCCTTTCCCCTTCGACATATATGCACATAACCACACACACTGCAACAAGACTAGCCAACCCACCCACACAGTGCAATGTGGCTGGCCAACCACTCACACAGTGCAACCTGGCTGGCCAACCACCCACACAGTGCAATGTAGCTGGCCAACCACCCACACAGTGCAATGTAGTTGGCCAACCAGCCACACAGTGCAACCTGGCTGGCCAACCACCCACACAGTGCAACCTGGCTGGCCAACCACCCACACAGTGCAATGTGGCTGGCCAACCACTCACACAGTGCAACCTGGCTGGCCAACCACCCACACAGTGCAATGTAGCTGGCCAACCACCCACACAGTGCAATGTAGCTGGCCAACCACCCACACAGAGCAACATGGCTGGCCAACCACCCACACAGTACAACATGGTTGACCAACCACCCACACAGTGCAACAAGGCTGGCCATCAGCGGCACACAGCATTAACAAAAGGGATGTGTACCAACAATACAGAACTGGCCATCAGCCACACAGCAAGGATCTCCCGGACCATTCCTTCACAGTTTTTATACAATGTGAACACAAAAGTGGATTTTTTATATCAGTGAATTGATAAATGTCAAACAGAATATTACCTGGATCTAATCTGTAGAATAAAGTTTTCAAATAATTACAGAATATCACAGAAATAAAACATATCGGCAATACCCTCACAATAATAGCAGAATATCCAAAAAGTTCTAAACAGCGATAAGTACAGCTGGTTTATCCGGGAACAGAAGCTGACAGGTTTGTGGCTAATCTCTTGTAAATGTGAACAAAAACGGCACTAACAACAGACTGCACAATTCATTGCATGGCAAGTTTTGCTGTATTTCATCAGGAGCATACTACAAAAATAAGATAAAAAAAAAAAAAAATATCAAGCAAATATACAAATGTTTTCAACTGAAATAATTTTTTTTTAAATCCATTACATTTAATTGAATACACTGACGTATGTAAAGCAATACAGCTGTGCAATCTGTTTGTCTTATTTGTTCAAAAATACAATGAGGAAACATTGCACATTGCTTTGATATCCTGCAAACAACACAATGATTAAACCACATGGTTATAACAAGCAGCCAATCACTACACATTTCTATATAAATGTCACATGATGATTTAAACCAATCAACTTTTTACCCTGTAGTGACATTAACACAATCAGCCAGTAGAAGCACTGCTAACACTAAAGTTGATCACAGGCTGAGCCTGGCTGATGTTCTGACCAGATGATTTTAATGATGTGATGGTAAGTCACTAAGTGTCATGCCACCCACCCACCTGGGGACAATAGTTGGCTGTAGGGTGTCCCAACATAAATTGTTGTGTACTGTTGAGTGAACAAGGTATCAGATTTATTCCTGTTGGACTGACATTCAAACAGTGGTTCATTAGGCCAATGGGTGTCAAACCTTCTGTTTGAAGACATGAAGGAAGAATACAGGACCAACAAATGTGACAGTGATGGCAACAGTGACTGTAGGGCATTATTAAGATTAAATAGTACTGGGCAGTAACAGCAACTAATGTCAGGAACATGATGCTAGTAATGATAAGGGCACCTGTGTTACATCAGCTATTGTGTGGCACATGATACTAGTAATGATGAGGGCATTTGTGTCCCTGGCTACAACATCAGATATTGTCTGCCACATAATATTAGTAATGATAAGGGCATCTGTGTCCCTGGCTACAACATCAGATATTGTCTGGCACATAATACTAGTAATGATAAGGGCCTCTGTGTCCCTGGCTACAACATCAGATATTGACTGGCACATGTAATGATAAGGGCATCTGTGTCCCTGGCTACAACATCAGATATTGTCTGGCACATAATATTAGTAATGATAAGGGCATCTGTGTCCCTGGCAACATCCGATATTGTCTGGCACATGTAATGATAAGGGCATCTGTGTCCCTGGCTACAACATCAGATATTGTCTGGCACATAATATTAGTAATGATAAGGGCATCTGTGTCCCTGGCTACATCAGATATCATCTGGCACTGGCTACATCAGATATTGCCGGGCATATGTAATGATAAGGGCATCTGTGTCCATGGCTTTAACATCAGATATTGTTTGGCTCATGATTATGTGTAACGATGAGGGCACCTTCGTCCTTAGTTATAACATTAGCTACTGTTTGGCACATGATACTGTGTAATGATGAGAGTATCTGTGTCCCTGGCTACAACATCAGCTATTGTCTGTCATTAGAAATAATGATAAGGGCACCTGTGTCACTGGTCAGCTATTATTTGGCTCATGATACTAACGAACGAACAAACGAACAAACTTTATTTTCAAAGGGTTACAAATTGGGCACGCAGGCCCGTCTGACATTCGGCCCTTCTAAGTACTAATTTTTCAGAGTACCAATACTAGTGAAGATGAGGGCACCTTGTCACTAGTTACAACATCCGATATTGTCTGGCGCATAATATTAGTAATGATGAAGGCATCTGTGTCCCTGGCTACAACATCAGCTATTGTCTGGAACTAATTACAACAGTGAACTGACATTCAAAATCTAGTACGGTGCTGGTCTATCAGTGACATCATTATGTAGCACAGGTATGTCCAACTGGGTCACATATTTGTTGTCATGAGGGCCCCCACAACAACTAATTAAGGTTACTTTATAAAAATTATAGTTTGCAAAAGGGTCACAGGGGGGCCTGCGAGCCGCATGTTTGACATGCCTGATGTAGCTTAAGCCAAGCCCTCCCAAGTTGTCCTGTCCTTTGCTTTTATATGAATTTCACTTCATGTCCACCCAAGCTGTCCTGTCCTTTGCTTTCATATGAATTTCACTTCATGTCCTCCCAAGTTGTCCTGTCCTTTGCTTTCGTATGAATTTCACTTCATGTCCTCCCAAGTTGTCCTGTCCTTTGCTTTCATATGAATTTCAATTCATGCCCTCCCAAGCTGTCCTGTCCTTTGCTTTCATATGAATTTCAATTCATGCCCTCCCAAGTTGTCCTGTCCTTTGCTTTCATATGAATTTCACTTCATGTCCTCTCATGTTGTCCTGTCTTTTGCTTTCATATGAATACACTTCATGCCCTCCCAAGCTGTCCTGTCTTTTGTTTCATATGAATTTCACTTCATGTCCTCCCAAGTTGTCCTGTCCTTTGCTTTCATATGAATTTCAGTTCATGTCCTCCCAAGTTGTCCTGTCCTTTGCTTTCATACAAATTTCAATTCATGCCCTCCCAAGTTGTCCTGTCCTTTGCTTTCATATGAATTTCACTTCATGTCCTCTCATGTTGTCCTGTCTTTTGCTTTCATATGAATTTCAGTTCATGTCCTCCCAAGTTGTCCTGTCCTTTGCTTTCATATGAATTTCACTTCATGTCCTCTCATGTTGTCCTGTCCTTTGCTTTCATATGAATTTCACTTCATGTCCTCTCATGTTGTCCTGTCTTTTGCTTTTATATGAATTCACTTCATGCCCTTCCGAGCTGTCCTGTCTTTTGCTTTCATATGAATTTCACTGTATGTCCTCCCAAGTTGTCCTGTCCTTTGCTTTCATATGAATTTCAGTTCATGTCCTCCCAAGTTGTCCTGTCCTTTGCTTTCATACGAATTTCAATTCATGCCCTCCCAAGTTGTCCTGTCCTTTGCTTTCATATGAATTTCACTTCATGCCCTCCCAAGTTGTCCTGTCTTTTGCTTTCATATGAATTCACTTCATGCCCTTCCGAGCTGTCCTGTCTTTTGCTTTCATATGAATTTCACTGTATGTCCTCCCAAGTTGTCCTGTCCTTTGCTTTCATATGAATTTCAGTTCATGTCCTCCCAAGTTGTCCTGTCCTTTGCTTTCATATGAATTTCAATTTATGCCCTCTGAAGTTGTCCTGTCCTTTGCTTTTATATGAATTTTACTTCATGTCCTCCCAAGTTGTCCTGTCCTTTGCTTTCATATGAATTTCAGTTCATGTCCTCCCAAGTTGTCCTGTCCTTTGCTTTCATAAGAATTTCAATTCATGCCCTTCCAAGTTGTCCTGTCCTTTGCTTTCATATGAATTTCACTTCATGTCCTCTCATGTCCTGTCCTTTGCTTTCATATGAATTTCAATTCATGCCCTCCCAAGCTGTCCTGTCCTTTGCTTTCATATGAATTTCAATTCATGCCCTCCCAAGTTGTCCTGTCCTTTGCTTTCATATGAATTTCACTTCATGTCCTCTCATGTTGTCCTGTCTTTTGCTTTCATATGAATACACTTCATGCCCTCCCAAGCTGTCCTGTCTTTTGTTTCATATGAATTTCACTTCATGTCCTCCCAAGTTGTCCTGTCCTTTGCTTTCATATGAATTTCAGTTCATGTCCTCCCAAGTTGTCCTGTCCTTTGCTTTCATATGAATTTCACTTCATGTCCTCTCATGTTGTCCTGTCTTTTGCTTTCATATGAATTTCAGTTCATGCCCTCCCAAGTTGTCCTGTCCTTTGCTTTCATATGAATTTCACTTCATGTCCTCTCATGTTGTCCTGTCTTTTGCTTTCATATGAATTTCAGTTCATGTCCTCCCAAGTTGTCCTGTCCTTTGCTTTCATATGAATTTCACTTCATGTCCTCTCATGTTGTCCTGTCCTTTGCTTTCATATGAATTTCAGTTCATGTCCTCCCAAGTTGTCCTGTCCTTTGCTTTCATACAAATTTCAATTCATGCCCTCCCAAGTTGTCCTGTCCTTTGCTTTCATATGAATTTCACTTCATGTCCTCTCATGTTGTCCTGTCTTTTGCTTTCATATGAATTCACTTCATGCCCTTCCGAGCTGTCCTGTCTTTTGCTTTCATATGAATTTCACTGTATGTCCTCCCAAGTTGTCCTGTCCTTTGCTTTCATATGAATTTCAGTTCATGTCCTCCCAAGTTGTCCTGTCCTTTGCTTTCATACGAATTTCAATTCATGCCCTCCCAAGTTGTCCTGTCCCTTGCTTTCATATGAATTTCACTTCATGCCCTCCCAAGTTGTCCTGTCTTTTGCTTTCATATGAATTCACTTCATGCCCTTCCGAGCTGTCCTGTCTTTTGCTTTCATATGAATTTCACTGTATGTCCTCCCAAGTTGTCCTGTCCTTTGCTTTCATATGAATTTCAGTTCATGTCCTCCCAAGTTGTCCTGTCCTTTGCTTTCATATGAATTTCAATTTATGCCCTCTGAAGTTGTCCTGTCCTTTGCTTTTATATGAATTTCACTTCATGTCCTCCCAAGTTGTCCTGTCCTTTGCTTTCATATGAATTTCAGTTCATGTCCTCCCAAGTTGTCCTGTCCTTTGCTTTCATACGAATTTCAATTCATGCCCTTCCAAGTTGTCCTGTCCTTTGCTTTCATATGAATTTCACTTCATGTCCTCTCATGTCCTGTCTTTTGCTTTCATATGAATTTCACTTTATGTCCTCCCAAGTTGTCCTGTCCTTTGCTTTCATATGAATTTCAGTTCATGTCCTCCCAAGTTGTCCTGTCCTTTGCTTTCATATGAATTTCACTTCATGTCCTTTCATGTTGTCCTGTCCTTTGCTTTTATATGAATTTCACTTCATGTCCTTCCAAGTTGTCCTGTCCTTTGCTTTCATACGAATTTCAATTCATGCCCTCCCAAGTTGTCCTGTCCTTTGCTTTCATATGAATTTCAGTTCATGTCCTCCCAAGTTGTCCTGTCCTTTGCTTTCATATGAATTTCACTTCATGTCCTTTCATGTTGTCCTGTCCTTTGCTTTTATATGAATTTCACTTCATGTCCTTCCAAGTTGTCCTGTCCTTTGCTTTCATACGAATTTCAATTCATGCCCTCCCAAGTTGTCCTGTCCTTTGCTTTCATACGAATTTCACCCCATGCCCCTCCCAAGGCCTCCCAACCTTTACTCTCACAAGCAGCTCACCCCATGTCCTCTCATTCTCTTCATATTTATGGGCCTAGCTTTATTCAACTGACCCTGTGGGTTCCGGAAAAAAGACTTCTATTACTCTAAAACCTCATTAACATGAACTTGTTTAGCTCACAGTCCCAGAAGATTTTGCTGCAGTTATTCAACAGAGATGTTAACATGAAAAAAAAAATATGAATTTATAAAATTTAAACAAGCATATACTATGCCAGATTTCTTTAGTATGTTCAGACCACAATATTTCATAGGTTAACCTAAAGTGCATTTCTTGATACAATGAGCTAGTAGCTATTCCCACATGGTGTGTTACATGGGACAGAAAGAGCTGAGACCAACACTCTGTTTACATGAACAACATGTCCCAGCAGGGATAAATTATTCATAATACATCTATTAGTCCCTCAGTTAGCACAAATGTTTATAACGCCAAACCCTTGATTTTTAAGTTCCCTGCAATTTGTGTTAATGAGGTTTGACTGTCCATTGTTATTGAGTTTTCTCAATGTGACTCAATAAACACCAGCATTTTGTCCTCACCTTGTCGTGATTCATTGGAATTTGTTTAGTTCTCCCCAAGGCCCAAACATCAGTGATTTTGTCATACCATCTAATTCCCTCGACCCTGCAGACAGACACCAGTGAACAAATGTTTGTATGTTAAAAGCAACACCTACATGTACATATACAATTCTGCAACAACAACAACAACAACAACAACAACAACAACAACAACAACAAAGATGTGCAGAGGATACAGACAATAAACGGCGCATGCAACACTGACTTATTTTTCAGTTAGTAACTAAGGTTAGGATTAAATGGAACACACATTATGGCCATCTTCAGGAAGGAAAATCACAATGCATCATCACGCATGTCAAGTGTCCACATTTCTTAACACATGAACCGTCATGAAACTGTTACAACATTGCAAAGAAAACATCTTGTAGGGAGTACTGCAAAAATCACTACGGCAAAATGTTGTTTGTTTGTTTTGTTATTGTAAGAATACTAACCACTATAAAGACATTAATAAGACAAGGTGTTGCATAGAGCCTGCTCTGTTGTATGCGGACATAACATCTCTCCCAAAGCCATGACAGATCTATCCTACTGACATCCTTAGATATAACCCAGAGATAGGACAGATCTTTCCTTGAGACATGACATTCGATCATTCCCAGGGACTTGACAGATCTATCCCAAAGATATGACATTATATCTATCCCACAGACATGACAGATCTATCCCAAAGATATGGAATAATATATATCCTAAAGACGTGACTGATCTTTCCTAGAGACATGACATTAGATCCATCCCAGAGACATGACATTAGATCTATCCCAGAGACATGACATTAGATCTATCCCAGACACATGGTAGTCTATTCTAGAGACATGACAGATTTATCTTAGAGACATGACATATCTATCCTAGAGACATGACAGGTCTTTCCTAGAGACATGACATTAGATCTATTCCAGATACATGTCCTTAGATCTATCCCAGAGACATGACAGATCTATCCTAGAGACATGTCCTTAGCTCTATCACAGAAACATGTCCTTAGATCTATCCCAGAAATATGACAGATCTATCCCAGAGACATGTCCTTAGATCTATCACAGAGACAAGACAGATCTATCACAGAAACATGACAGATCTATCCCAGAGAAATGTCCTTAGATCTATCCAAGTGACATGAGGTATCTCTTGAGATACGACATTAGATCTATCCCAGAGACATGTCCTTAGATCTATCACAGAGAGATAACTCCAAACCTGTCTCAGAAATTTCAGTTTTTCACTGTTCCAGAGACCAGTATTAAATATCACATCCCACCCTGGAAGAACATCAGCCCCTTCAACAGGAAGTCCCAGTCTCTAGCTCCAGCCAGGCTACGATCTTGCCTTCCCAGCCTGGCAGAATATCGTCATCACATGAGAGCTGAAAGAGAGATGCAAACAACTTATCAAACACGACACCTCTAACAGACAACATGTGTGATGTTTCTTTCATAAAACTGGACAAATAATAAACTGACTCACCAACACAAACAATCTACTATATACTTCTTTCTTTGTCTACAGAACCCTCAACCAGCTAACAATATCACCCCATAATTTGCCATCACTTGCAGCTCACTCCGTGATGTGTCCCACCCTCAGCTCACCCCATGTTGTGTCCCACCCTCAGCTCACCCCATGTTGTGTCCCATCCTCAGCTCACCCCATGTTGTGTCCTACCCTCAGCTCACCCCATGTTGTGTCCCACCCTCAGCTCACCCCATGTTGTGTCCCACCCTCAGCTCACTCCGTGATGTGTCCCACCCTCAGCTCACCCCATGTTGTGTCCTACCCTCAGCTCACCCCATGTTGTTTCCTACCCTCAGCTCACCCAATGTTGTTTCCTACCCTCAGCTCACCCCATGTTGTTTTCTACCCTCAGCTCACCCCATGTTGTGTCCCACCCTCAGCTCACCCCATGTTGTGTCCCACCCTCAGCTCACCCCATGTTGTGTCCCACCCTCAGCTCACCCCATGTTGTGTCCCACCCTCAGCTCACCCCAGG